TACCACAAATGACCAAGAGGACCACAATGGCAAAATAATAATAGGAAAATTGTACATAGTTGTACTGGTCAAAAGCAAAAGGAAATAAAAAAGGGAAATCTTATTAAAGGAATGCTAGTCCATGATACTACAAGGAAAAGCTACCCTGATGGACTCTAACCTTACACAATTATAGTAACACTTCAAGGTAAAAATAACCTACTAAAACAAAGACTCCTTCATTCATTGACATATTGCCCTCGCAGTGGGTTTCCATTGACTGGGGAATATTTTGGAGTATCTCTCTTTTAGAATTCATCAGAAGATGTTTTCTTATTCTGTAAACATCTGGTCTTCCCTGACTCTACCCATTCTAATATTGTTCATAGTTGTAGCTGTTTTGGCTCCTTAATGCCAGAGTGTTATATTCATATACTCGTAATACTACAAGGTCCCCGAACAAGTCTAATTTTAAAGGATCTAGCTATTGTTAATCTTGATGATTCTGTAGTCTTTTCTTATACTGGAAACTGGCCTTCACTCTGAGAAGATGATTTCATCATGCCAGTAAATGATGTACTTACGGGATGAGTTATCACATGAATATCACAGAAAATGCACTCAGTATTGTGTTGGGAATCCTTTCCTCATATTAATAGATTATTACAGATTATGATGTGGAGGTATTGGAAAATTTAGATATTGTATGCACATTAGAACCACTGAAATATAGAAAAAATCAGATTCTCTGTATTAGAAAGCCAAGCTGACAGGGCAAAAGCATGATGATCTGTTTCCAAGGCACAGGCGAGAGGGGGTAACATTCCAGGAGGGAGATAGGAATGACTTGGCACGGGTCATGGACTTAAAGCAAGAAGTGAGTTTCTCTCCCTCCCTCCTGACAGGACAAAAGTAGGCCTCTTGGTGGATCTCTGTAGCTGAACCCCAGTAAATCTAACTGTTCTTTCGATAGAGAAGATGCTGAGGCACACCCCATGCATGAAGACAGATATAATTTGATATTTCTATGATGCTAAAGTGACGTAGTGATTATGTTAACGTATGTAGGAGCATATTTCTTTGTTTGCCTGTATTTTAAGGTGTATCAAAGGCAAAGTCAATGCCTTTATACTAGAGTCTGGTTTGCTTTTGGAGGAAATTCCACACCAGGATCTCAGCTGAAAATAAAAGCATATTTTTCTGCCCCAACAAAGGATTACTCTTGGCATTATCTCTCCTATCAGCCACAACAATTGCTCATGGTTAAGGAAGGCTGTATTTTGGCAGAGCTTGAGAAAGTGACATTTAAACCACCAAGATTGTACTGAAGGTAGACAGAGATGAAAGTCTGGCCAACACTGCTGTTTCTGCTGTGTACATAGCAATTCCAAATGCTCTAAGTGTCCAAATTTGGCAGGAGCACCTGATTAATCCTCTGCCATTCCACCTTTTCAGCAAGTACAATTAATTTTGCAGAGAAGAGAACGGTGTGGAATCTTGTGCTTCCTGGTTGGCTCAGGCAAAAGCAAACAGCTGCAGCCTCTGCTAGGTTTTATATTCTTCTTCATTAATAACCCTTGCCATGTTAATCACTGATATTGCTTGGCCACATAGGATCATAGAATCAGAATTGGAATCGAGCACAAGGTCCATCCAGTCCAATCTTCTGCTTTGCAAGAATCCACAAAGTATTCCCAATAAATGCCCATCCAGCCTCTGTTTAAAACCCCCCAGAAAAGGTATCAATCATTAACAATGAAATGATTTTTAAAATTTGGCAATAAAACACCTCAAAATGTATCTGGGCTGAGGAAAAAACAACAATGTGGCACCTTGAATGCTTTGTTAGCTGCCCCAAGTCCCTTGGGGGAGATGGTTATTATTATTATGGAGCCCCTGATGGCGCACTGGGTTAAACACTTGTGCTGGCAGGACTGAAGGTCGGAGGTTCGAATCTAGAAAGAGCACGGATGAGCTCCCTCTGTCAGCTCCAGCTCCCCATGCGGGTGCATGAGAGAAGCCACTCATAAGGATGGTAAAGAAGCAAAACATCCGAGTGTCCCCTGGGAAATGTCCTAGCAGACAGCCAATTATCTCACACCAGAAGCGACTTGCAGTTTCTCAAGTCGCTCCTGACATGAAAAAAAGTATTATTATTATTATTTGAAACACAACAAGATGAGTCCACAGCAGACAAGATCACTCTGTTGGCTGTTGTATTGGATCACACGTCGGACACTTCCCAAAATGTCTAGGACTGTGTGATTTATTGTTGTTGTTGTTGTTGCCAGGCACTGGTAAACTACAGAGGTACCTATCATAGAAGAATGGGAAACCCACATTATTGACCTGCTAATAATGGATAAAATAACTGTACTCTTCAAAGGAGAGCAACTAGAGGATTTAGTTAAAGAATGGCAGCCAGTGATTCAATACCTCAACATAAAAGTAAAGTTAAACCAGATATAAAAATACTTACAGGGGGTCCTATAAGGCTGTGAACAAAGAGGAATTTATTACCAACTTAAAATTTATCGTGTTCTTAGCTGCCCTACCCAAACAGAAGTCAGAGGTTCCTTAAATAAAGACACTGTATGAGAAATATTAGTGAATTATCAACAGCATGAAAATATAAAATTGTATGCAACAAACATATATATTGTATGCCTATTTTAACAAATATATACATTAAAAATAAAATAAAAACCCAGAAAAGGAGACTCCACTACAGTCCAAGGTGACAAAGAGCTCTTCCTGTCAGGAAAGTTTTCATCCATGACATATTTCAGGATATGTGGTCTTTAATCAGAACACATTTCTGCTCATGTGGTAAAATCCTCGATGCACCTCATTGTGTGGTTTGTGAAAATGTGGTAGAGTTCACTGCATAAGGACTTTCACTCAATGGGACTGTGGCTGCAGACTACAGCTCTAAAAAGTCTCTATCTAGTGTGGCAGCTAACTGGATGGTTTTGGAAAGTTGTAGTCCAAAAATAATTTCCCCAAGCTGTAAACTCTATTCTTAATAATGATTTAAAATCCTGCAGGTATTCAAGTGAACGGTATGATTCTGTTTGTTCTTTCAGCTCAGAACGCTGCCATAACTAACTAACCAGTCAACAAAGAGATTCTTCCCCTTGAGGGCTTGCTAGCAGGAAGCTGCTTTAACTGAGTTTGATTTGCTTTGCTTTGAAGTTGGAAATGCTGGCTCTTGGTTCATGCTGGGCCAGTGATTGGATATGTTATATAAGACAGAAGAGAAACAAACAAATATCCAGGCAAAACACCCAAGCCATTCTTCTCTAAGTTCCCCCTGATTTTTCAAAAAGAATTACACCAAAGATACAGAAGGCATTTTACTGACAGTTCTATTTTTCAGCAAGACGTTTCTAGAGAAAACCCAGTGACTGAAAAGAAGCACTCCTGCCTCTGTGCGTGCTTAAATAGTTCATTATTTTTGAAAACCAAAAGCAGTCTATTATTTCAGTGATTTCATTGTGGATTTTAAAAAAGTTTATTTAAACTGGTACTTGGTGGCTGTGATGGTCTGGGTGAGGGTGAACAAATTGAAATTGAATCCAGACAAGCCAGAGGTACTCTTGGTCAGTTGAAAGGCCGAACAGGGTATAGGGTTACAGCCTGTGTTGGATGGGGTTAAACTCCCCTTGAAGACACAGGTTCGCAGGTTGGTAGTTCTCCTGGATTCATTGCTGAGCCTGGAACCCCAGGTTTCAACAGTGGCCAGGGGAGCATTTGCACAAATAAAACTTGTGTGCTAGTTGCACCTGTACCTTGAGAAGCCAGACTTGGCCACAGTGGTCCATGCTCTTGTTACATCTAAAATAGACTACTGCAACATGCTCTATGTGGGGCTGCATTTGAAGACTGTCTGGAAGCTCCAAGTAGTCCAATGAGCAGCAGCTAGATTCCTTACTGAAGTAGCATACAGGGAGCATACAACCCTCCTGTTCCTTTAGTTCCACTGGCTGCCAGTTTGCTACTGGGCCCAATTCAGAGTGCTAGCTTTGGCCTATGAAGCCCTAAATGGTTCTGGTCCAACTTACCTGTCTGAACATATCTCCCTTTATGAGCCAACTAGAGCTTTAAGCTCTTCTGGGGAGGCCCTTCTCTCAGTCCCACCCCCTTCACAAGTGCGACTGGTGGGGACGAGAAACAGGGCCTTCTCAGTGGTGGCCCCTTGGCTGTGGAACCCCCTCGCTAGTGACATTAGGCTGGCCTCATCCCTCTTGGTCTTCAGGAAAAAGGTAAAGATCTGGCTCTGCACACAGGCATTCAGAGAGTAGGGTAACATGGAATTCAAACTTAACCTAGCAGTCTGAACAATGTCTATTGGGTAACCAAGAATTATGGAATCATGGCTCAGCACTTTGTATGTTTTTAATTTTTTTACTGTATGCTGTAACTGTTTATACATTTTAACTGTTTTATAATTTAATATGGTATGCTTGTTGTTATGTGCACGATGCAGCATTGAATGTTTGCCATAGCTTGTAAGCTCTGAATCTCCTTCGGGGTGAGAAGGGCACGGTATAAATAAAGTAAATAAATACATTAAAATATTTTTAAGCACACACCAGCACTTGATGTAATACAATTAAACTTTTTAAACCAACCCAAAGCAACATTTAAAATGTAATTCATAAGCACATATATAACAATCAGATTCAACATCTGTCAACAATACAGTTTTTAGTCCAAATGACTTCTCTGAATTGCAAGGTTTTTGCCTGCTGTGGAAGGGCAACAAAGAGGAAGCTAGTCTGGTGTCCCATGGACAGGTAGTTCAAGAGTTTGGGAATGTCCATGGCAAGTAACAATTCTTTGTGTACTTTCACATTGCATACTTACAGTACCACCTTCTACATTAAGTATGGGGAACAACTCGAAAGGGAAGACACAAACAGATGGACCAAACAACATGAGGTGTCATTGTCATTTTTCTAGGTATGACATTTTCTAAATATTTCTTCAGTTTTGACTTCCCTTCATTTTCCCCATAGAGTAAAATGAAGAGGGAATGAAAATGGGTTCACCAGCTCCAAAACCAGAGGGCTCACAAGACTGGAAATTTAGCCGACTCCTAAAGGTAAATAACAGTGCTGTGATTCTACTTTAGCAGTCCTGGAAATGTCCTATGAGATGCTAGGATTTGAAATTTCGGCAGAACGATGTGAACTTTTCAACCAGAACTACAAACCCAGTCAAGGTAGTTAAAATGAAATTGTAGTAATAGGCCTGAGTAGTGTGAAAGGATTATTGTATTCTTACCTAACATTTCTTTAAAGGCAGCAGGACCAAGAATCATAGAATCATTGACCTTATGGGCCATCCAGCCCAACCCCCTGCCAAGAAGCAGGAAAATTGCAGAGTAGAACATCACCTGGAGATCTAAAAAACCCCAAAAAATAAAATCTCAGCAGGGGTTACATGAGAAAATATGGTTTTCAGATGGGCTGCTTACAAGTTGTTAGGGGCTTTATAGGCTTTATAGGTCATAACAATTGCTTCTGCCTAGAAACGGACCAGTAGACCATGGAGCTATTAGAGTACGAAACATATGTTCCTTGTTATTTGCTATAATCAACACTTAGAACAGCTTCTAGAACACATTTCAAAGACAGTTCATCCAGAGGACATTACAGCCGTCTCTAGTACAGTAATTAGATCAGTCCCCTCCCTCCTGACCTTCACGAAAAAAGTCAAATCCTGGTTGCAGGAACCAAGCATTTGCACAATGATTCCCAGGGCAATAATGTTTTCCTGGTGTAACAATAAACAATGCAAATTACAGTTCGGAATGGCTCCTGTAATATGTTTTTTGGATTATGTGACTTTAAATAATGGTTTTAAGTGTTATGTTTTAATGATGTGATTTTAAAGTATGTTGTTTTATTATACATTAAGGCATCAAATTGTGCCTCTGTTGTGAGCCACCCTGAGTCCCCTTCCTGGGTGAGAAGGATGGGATATAAGTGTAGCAAATAAACAAAAAATAAATAACTAAGTCCAGATCTGATTTGTCCAGAACTGTATACAGTTGGCACCATTGTTTGCAGATGACACCAAATTGGGAAGGATAGCCAATTCTCCAGAAGACAGAAGCAGAATTCAAAACAATCTTAACAGATTAGAGAGATGGGACAAAACTAACAAAATGAAGTTCAACAGGGACAAATGCAAGATACTCCACTTAGGCAGAAAAAAATGAAAGGCAATGATACAGAATGGGGGGGGGGGTGCCTGGCTCAACATCAGTACATGTGAAAAAGATCTTGGAGTCCTCATGGACACCAAGTTAAACATGAGTCAACAATGTGATGCGGTGGCAAAAAAGCCAATGGGATTTTGGCCTGCATCGATAGGAGTATAATGTCTAGATCCAGGGATGTCATGCTACCCCTCTATTCTGCCTTAGTTAGACCACATCTGCAATACTGTGCCCAATTCTGGGCACCACAATTGAAGGGAGATGTTGACAAGCTGGAATGTGTTCAGAGGAGGGCGACTAAAATGATCAAGGGACTGGAGAACAAGCCCTATGAGGAACGGCTGAAAGAGCTGGGCATGTTTAGCCTGAAGAAGAGAAGGCTGAGAGGAGACATGATAGCCATGTATAAATATGTGAGGGGAAGTCACAGGGTGGAGGGAGCAAGCTTGTTTTCTGCTACCCTGGAGACTAGGACGCAGTGGAACAGTGGCTTCAAACTATAAGAAAGGAGATTCTATCCAAACATGACGAAGAACTTCCTGACTGTGAGAGCTGTTCAGCAGTGGAAGTCTCTGCCTCGGAGTGTGATGGAAGCTCCTTCTTTGGAAGCTTATAAACAGAGGCTGGATGGCCATTTGTTGTGGTACTCTGAATGCAATTTTCTTGCTTTTTGGCAGGGGGTTGGACTGGATGGCCCATGAGGTCTCTTCCAACTCTATGATTCTATGATTCATGGGCTATAATCTGGGCTTCTCTGGGGTTGGTTCCTACTGAATGTACCACATTCCTACTGAATGTACCATTTTAGCCTTTCCCTTTTTCTTTGCAGCTTTTCTCCTCTGACCCTTTCTCACAAAGTTGTTCCCCAAATGATACGTCATGCCCTAATAAATTCAGATGGGGAAAGCTGGCCTTCTAAATATAATGCCCTGGGACACTTTTTGGCTAAAGGCGGGATTATCTTTAGAAACCAGACATGGACAGCATCTTGGTCTGTTTTACAACATTGCAGACTAAACCTTTCCAAGGTCTTAGGGATTAGCATTTGGAAGGAGTCTTGGAGAACTGAGATCTTGCAAGTGTAAGCTTCCAAGTCAGAATATAAATGTATCTACATTTTTGGCTTCAATGGGCTTTGGTCCATATTTCTTTTTGTCATTGCTCAGAATATATTAATTGTCCTAACACCCTGAAAGGTCATTTGACAGAATAAAACATTTTTTTACTAGCATCACAATTATGAAGTAGGTATGATCTATTTGCATGCATTTGCATCTGGCACGCTGTTTTGCTAGATTTAATGTTTTGAATGCATACATACAGTTTTCTGCACATATATATTTTGCTTGGTGCTGTCGCAGCACTGAAAGTATTTAAATGAAGCAGATTTCTAGTCCGTATTACATATATTTAAATTGCCTCATCTAAAATTAATCTAAGATGAAATAAGATAGCTTGATGCAATAAATAAATATATAAAATGGTATAAGAATGAATGTTGTTTATTTTTAAGAATTACAATTCAAGTACTTTCTGATCATCAAAGGTATTTTCCCTCGTAACTCAGAAGTTTTATTGAGTTGTCATGGAAAGTGGCTATTGATTCATCTGTCCTCCTGCTCCATTGCTCTGGGATAACAATCTTCCCCTACAGAAAGCAGCAACAGGCTGATCCAGGTTCCACCTGAAGGAGTTGGATGTGCACACAACCCTAGGTATGTCTCTATGGCACCTGCTGAAATTACAATTCTGAGGCCTATTCTAGTGCTGAAAGCATTTAGCTCATTGGCCTAGATCCCAGAAGAGGGTAATCCTGACAAACATAAGGCTGCCTGGATGATGAAGCTGTGTAAGGGTTCCCAAGATTTATAGCAGCTGAATAGCTAACATGGGCATGGATCCAGAAACCTTAATGCTTGATCATTAAATGTTACTGAACGAGTGACAGCAAGAAAAAATATGTCCTGCACAGGTGATAATTTCCCTAGTTCTTTTATGAGAGTGCTTTTGCTATGCATTAATGTATGTATGGTGCGTCTCATATGTAGTTCAGTTTGCAGTGACCCTTGATATTTCTCAACAAGTTCCCACCACTGCCACATTGCCCATTCTCTAGTCTCCAGATGATGTGTGTCTTTCTCCTTTGATCTCTCTCTGCCAGCACTTCATCCATCAAGCATGGAAACCAGAAATGAGCACAAGCACAGAACTTATTTTCTCAATAATTTTGCTGCACACTTAACTGCCAAGGATAGGTGACATACAGCCTTCAAACCTCCCCTTCTCTTCTTTTTTTTTCTTGCAACCTCTAACCCTCTCAGTGCCACTGAATTGGTCATCAAATTTGCCATTGCTACAATGAAAGATACTGAGAAATGAAAAATATAAAAATCTGGTGAGCTGACAGGCAGCAGGAAGAGTTGGTATGCTGAAGAGTCAAAGGCAGCACTGAGGGCTAGAGTGGAGTCTTTGGCATGGCCCAAGCAAGCCTTGGACAGAGGAGGTGGCAGAAGGACTGTTGAACAGAAGATTATAGAAGATGATGCCCCAAGGAGACAAAAAAAGGATTTTATGCTGCAGCTTGGACTGCTCTCTCTTCCTGGACCATAGAGACAGTGCAGCTACACACCTGCATTACACCATTGCTGAAAGCGAAAGTGTGGCTTTTGATGCAACACTACTTGTACAATAAGCTGGGCATGCCAACAATCTGTTTTTGTGTGTGTGTCAGGAGCGACTTGAACTATCTGGTGAATAATTGCTATTGTTTTTCTTCAAGTTTTAAAAATAACATCGAAAGAGGGAGAATATTAAAAAAGAAGATAGGAAAGTGGGGAAAAAAATAGGAGAAACGCCCTCCTACCCCCAAGTCCAGACTATTGTTTTTCTTGAGCGAGTCTTACATCTCTCTGTTTTGAAATTGAAACATATATGTTCATGTAGCTGTAAGAATCATGTTGATCAGCTGAGCAAAATGAAATCCTATATACAGTCATATTTTTGTATCCTCACATTCTGGATCCATGGATTCAGCCATCCATGGTTTGAAAATAAAATATTCAAAAAACATTCCCAAAAACTAATCTTGATTTTTTTTTTCATTTTCTATAAAGGACAATATTTTATTATGCCATTATATGTAATGGGATTTGAGCATCAACCAATTTCAGTATTCACAGGGAGTCTTTGAACTAAACTTCAGCAGATATCAAGGGCTTACTACATACATTTATGCATATTTACACATTTCTGAGTATCAACACATGCTCACATTCAGCTGGATGGAAGCCACAATGGGTTGGGTTGTTGTAGGTTTTTTCAGGCTATATGGCCATGTTCTAGAGGCATTCTCTCCTGACATTTCACCTGCATCTACCACAATGGGTTGTTGTATGTGAATCCTGTATACTCTTGCCACTATTTGTTGGGTTCACCGGCCTCTTATGTAATTGGATTTCAATACCAAGAAATAGTTCAATGTCATGGGAAACTAATATTAAACTATCTACACCTATTGTTACAGGCTAATGGAGCAATATATGAAAAGAATTGGGATTATCTTTACTGTCCGGGACAGTAGAGACAAGGGGGAGGAAAATCTTTATTGAGGTAATATCTTGGTGCCCTATCTATGAAACATTTTTGCAATTCGGCATTAAATAGTGAAGATAAAGCCGCCTGATGCTTTTTTTTAAAAGTGAGGCAGTCAAAAATCTAAAATAATAAGCAATGTTGTATTTCTGGGATAGAAGAATAATGTTATCTGTGAAATTTCCTAATGTTTGAGACATGCCAAGTAAGACGTGATATTCTGTCATTCAGTTTTTTCTCCCCAGTTTCATATTAATTCCCCCAAAGGCCCAAACAAACAATGA